CGGGTGAGCGCGGCTCCCCGCGGGGGTCAGGCGCTGGCGCAGCCACACGAGGAGGCGCTACTAGTCCGGCCCCTCCCCCTGGACCGCAGCGCCCCCCCCTGACCGAACCGTTTATTTTTTTCCTTTTCTCTTTTCTAGTCGAGGGAAGGGGGGGGGGGCCTTTTTTTTTCTAGAATGGAAAATGCTTGAGTGACCGAGGAGAGGGGGGGCTGCGGAGTTAAAGAAAGGATAGGCAGGCTCCCAGTTGCCGAGTTATTCAGGACGTTGTCTCAGGGTAACGAATTTTGGAATTACAAAATGCCTGCCGATGTAAACCCAAACCGAGCTATTTATAGAAGGGATATTGAACTCAGGATTAACAGCTGGATTGCTGGAATGGGGTACACTTATTAACTTGGTCAGGAGAGAAATATGACGGCGATTTCTTGGATTGCTTAGATGCCTTGGAGTTAGAAATACATCTTTGTGCTTTATCTCAAGAAATGGCTTCAGATAGGTTTTCAGTTTTCTTGCCTTTTCGAACTCGCATTGTGGTATTTGTAAAGTGCTTCCTGTTACACCTGAGTGAGGATAAGGAATTAAACTGACAGATTTTTACCATAATTTACTTTAAAAAGTCATTCTTAAAGATCTACCCCCCCCACCAAGCACTATTTTACCCTGAGAGAAGAGTGTTGAATTCTGGGATTTTGCCAGCAATTAATGTATTCTGAAAATAGGGAAATGATGTGCTTTGGGTATACACTTATATAATCACATTCTTGATGTAGTCAGAGGACAGTCTGCTATATACAGAATGTTGTGGCAGCCACTTAAACACGTAAAATATTTAGGGTATGAACTTTGTGTTGGTGGCTGGCTAGAGATCATTGATACTGAGTTTTGAGGGGATGGATAGTTAGAATGTCATTGGGGAATTTAACAGAATTGCTACTGTTGCTATAAATAATTACAAAATAAAGTTTTATCAATATCATTTTTATTTTGATTGTTTTATTTGGGAGGTCATTTAAGATTTAATAGATTTGAATAAAAACAGTTTCTGTAAAGGTTAACATACAGAAGGAGAATTTGTCATCTGAGTAACTATCAAGTTAGACTGGGAGAAGGAATAGGAGAAAAGGACTCAACTGTACTTAAGTATTGAGTCATTTCCTGAAGGGGAATATGGAACCCCAGCCGCCATAGAAGGTATCTCAGATAGTGTTTTTCTCAGTGAGGTTGTTGATCTAAGTCTTTTAAAGATCATTTGGTGTCATTTATCAATATTTGAAATTTGTAACATGAGATACGTCTAAATTTTTGTATCTCGAAGTTGTCTTCACTAAGAAAATATACATATACTCTCTTTAGCTTTCAACTTGAACTGCTACCCAATGGGAAAGTAAAAGGTCATTTGCCCTCACTGTAGTTGGTTAGTTTGAGATTTGCTCTCATGATTTCCAGGTGTTTCTGAATCCTTTTGAACCTTATTCTGTTGAAGGACAACTGGTGCACATTCAGCAGTTCCCTTAGAACCGTTGCCAATTGAAGGAATCCTCCTCATCCTGAGAGTCAGCGGAAACTCTATCATTAATGAGAGCAGACTGGAAAGTCGCCTTCTATACTCTGTAACAGAACCTGAGATGTAAATGTTGTTATACAGTTGCTTGGTGTCTATTAGTCCAATAGGTTGTCATTTAAAGAAAAATGTCACCTAGATAATATTGATGATGGTAAAGATGCTTTGGGAAGTAATTTCATGATTTCCCTATTGTTTTTCTCTCTAAGTTTTCGTCATGTTTTCATTTCAGTTTTTGGCTTTCACCCCCACCAGTGACCAAAGACTTAACCACTCAAAGTCCAGTTCCCCAGAACACTGCTCGACATGGACACCGGTGTGATTGAAGGTGGATTAAATGTCACTCTCACCATCCGGCTACTTATGCATGGAAAGGTATGCTCTAGCTTGGGAAATTGGGTCATAGTAACTGCTGGGGAGGGGCCAGGAAGAGCAGGCATGCATCTTGGAGCTCATCAGATTAGCACTGTGGGGCATCTGGCTTTAGCGCTCATCTTTAATGGAGTAGATGAGAATGTAGTGGGAAAATGGACACACTTTACCAAGGAAACTCCACTGAGCATGGAAGGCTTAACTAGAGGCTAGAGTCAAAGGCTGTCTCATACCCGTATTGTAAGATTTTTCTCATGGAGGTTGCTATAGTTTGTGATAGGTAGCTTCTACTGCCTGAACAATTGTAGGAAACTTTACGTGGAGAAGATATATCTGGTATTTGAAAAATAGTTTATATGAAATATAGAGATAGCGTTTAATCGCTCCTGCTTTGTTATTCTCTCAAAATTCTTTGATAGCTTCACTCTTAAGAAGTCTGAGTAAAGAGAGGAATGCCGCCTCTCCAATAAGTCTTAACATTTTTCCATTCATTTGGGGTGATGATTAGCATAGGTAGCAGTGGGTTAGCTGGAGTTAAAATTCCTTATTGTAATAATGAACACTTCTGAGTTTCCTCTTAGTGACACTAGTTTTCTCCATTGCAGGAAGTTGGCAGTATCATTGGAAAGGTAAGACAATTTCACTTCAGTTCTAATTCCATTTAGTCATTCTGAGTTGAAATGGCAATTGGAACTCATGCTTGACTTTTCCTTTTACAGAAAGGAGAATCCGTTAAGAAGATGCGCGAGGAGGTAAGTTATGGGAAACTTTGGGGTTGTGTTAGCCTTGGAAAATGAAAAACCTTTAAAACAAGTGAAAATTAAGTCTAGGAGATTAAAGGGAGGAAGATCTCAATAGGGGAAGCTGGTGTTTTTCTGGCTTGGTTGTTTGTAATGACATATTATACTGGGAAATGTAGTTCTGACAAGTCTCTAAATTCATTCAAGATATAAGGCAGCTGCTGTAGGCTATGGTTGAGGACAGACATGGAGCAGTTGTTGAAATGATGCCAACTTTGCCTTGTATCAGAGTCAAGTATGTAGGCAGCTTCTTGTCCTTATTTATGAGGAGTTGTATGTATGTATATCCTGTATAGGTTCAGATCTTTGTTGTCTCTTTAACCTCTTTGGCTATCTTTCTTATCCAGAGTGGTGCACGTATCAACATCTCAGAAGGGAATTGTCCTGAGAGAATTATCACTTTGGCTGGACCCACTAATGCCATCTTCAAAGCCTTTGCTATGATCATTGATAAACTGGAAGAGGTTTGTTGTTCCCTCTCCTTCTTCCCTCCTTCATTTTTAATTGCTAACAGCTTGTTGATTTTCTAAGTACTTTTAAAATTCAGGGTCAGACTGGACCATGAAAATTCATAAATGGGTCCTTTGCTTCCTGCAGCATGCCCCCCAGATTTTATCCACATTTGAAAAAAACGAGTCATTTGAGTCATTGAAACAAATAGTGTACTTATTGCCAGGGACTCAGAGTAAATAATTTGTGTGAAAAACAAGCATCTTAAAAATTTCTTTACCATTTGCTTTGAAGGCATGCCTTTACCTAACTCACAGTTAAGTGAACTAAATGTGCTTTTGTTAGAAACTATGCTGAGTACTAACATTTCATAAATAGACATAATCTTCCAATCTTTGGTTATGTTAAAAAAAATTATTCAATTCTGTCAAAGTTGTACTTGGCAGGAAGAGACCTAGATTATCAGAAGCAAAATGCCCTTACCAGAGGTTTTGTCAGAAGGACGTTTTTTCCTACACCAGCTTTCAGAGGCTAAACAACCATTGTCCTAGGTCTTGAGTTCAGCCCCTCCCCCTCCCTTGTCTGCAGTAATGCAGCTAATTGTGCAATTGATACCACAGGCAGAGGAGTGCTGTTTGGTTGGTGGTTGGTACTTAATGGTGCCTGAAATCTTATCCTTACCAACATCAGAAATACTGTCTTTTGACCCCCCAGGACCCTGTTAGTGCAGAACTTGTGGTTTAAAAAACATTTAGAAACTGTACTATTTATCTTTAACCAAATAAGAAACGTGTTCTTGACTTTGGGGCCTTGTGCTTAAGCAGTTTCCAGGTCTAGCTAATACATAGAGATTAGGCTAAGACGTGATATTTAAATCACTTAATCCTCAGGAGGCTAAACTTTAACTAGGTTAAAACCACAACTTTTTGGATGCAATATATTGTTATAGAATAGACTGTGGACTTTTCATTTCAAATTTATAGATTTTTGGATGTGACTGGAACATGTAGCTGAGCCTCAACTTCATTTTTTGTACAATGGTACTATTAGCAAAAAATTAGAGCAGTGAATATAGAGTACTCTTAATCTTCCTTGTTTCTTAACTTTAGTCTTTTAAGTTTCCGAAGAGGGCAGAATTGGTTTAAATTGTATTACATTGTTTCCATGTTTCTTTTAATATTTATTTTAATTTTCACATAAATTTTTTTTTTCCTCATTGTTCAGCCAAATGAAATTTGTGAAACAAGTAATCATTTTATCCCTACCAAATATACTACTACATGGTGAAGGAAAATACATTTCTGGCTAATTCTGAATAATTTTTTAAGGAGTTTTTAATCTTCATATCAGAAATAGTTGGGGCTGGAGTATTTGAACCTTTATCAGAAGTGGGTTATGATTTGACTTGTCCTTATAAGATCAAGGATAAGTAGTTCTTTTATGGCAGTTACTGGTTCTCAGGGATCAGTTTAAACTTACTCTTCTGGTGTTCTATCTTTTTGTAGGACATCAGCAGCTCTATGACCAATAGTACAGCTGCCAGTAGACCCCCGGTTACCCTGAGACTGGTGGTTCCTGCTAGTCAGTGTGGCTCTCTCATTGGAAAAGGTGGTTGCAAGATCAAGGAAATACGAGAGGTTGGTGACTTGTGTGTGCCTTTTAGAAATGTTAACTATTTGTTCCAAATGTGACTCTGTTAGATCTTTGTATGACTAGAGAAAGGCAGCACTAGATGAGATGAAGTTTTGTTTGTTTTTTGGTTTTTTTTGAGTTGGAGTTTCACTCTGTCGCCCAGGGTGGAGTGCAGTGGCAAGCGCACAGCCGCTGCAGCCTTGACCTGCTGGGCTCAGGGGATCATTCCACCTTAGCCTTCCACGTAGCTGGAACTACAGGCACACGCTACCACGCCTGACTAATTTTATATTTATTGTAGAGATGAGATCTCACCAAGTTGCCCAGGCTGGTCTCTAACCCGTGGGCTCGGGCAGTCCTCTCACCTCAGCCTCCCAAAGTGCTGGGATTATAGATGTGAGCCACTGTGTCTGGCCGAGATGAAGACTTTTATTAATGCAGCAGTCCTAGAGTATTAAGTTTGTACTGAAAATAAAGATACTAAACAATTGATTTTTTAATTTTTGTTTTTTTGTGTGTTGGAGTCTCACTCTGTCACCCAGACTGGAGTGCAGCGGCCCCTCCCGGCCACCGCAGTCTCGACCTGCTGTGCTCCGGCGATCCTTCTGCCTCAGCCTTCCAAGGAACTGGAACTACAGGCGCATGTTACCACGCCTGGCTAATTTTTTTGATTTATTGTAGAGATGAGGTCTCACCAAGTTGCCTAGGCAGGTCTCAAACCTGCGGGCTCAGGCAGTTCACTCACCTCGGCCTCCCATAGCACGGGATTACAGGCTGAGCCACCAAGTTTTTAATAGATTTTTTTTTATACACAATTGGGAAATTTTAATCATAGCATGAGGAAGTTAACTAGAATTTCCAGCTATTACATGTAACCCAGTTTCTGTTTTTCTGTTTATTTTTCTATGAGGCTGAGATTCTTTTTCATGACCCAAAGAAATTATGAACCAGACTGGGTGGCTCAGCCTGTAATCCCAGCACGCTGGGAGACTGAGGCTACTGGATTGCCTGAGCTCGTGGGTTTGAGGCCAGCCTGGGTAACTTGGTGAGACTTCGTCAGTATAATAAATTTAAAAAAAAATTAGCTGGATGTAGTAGTGTGCATCTGTAGTTCCGGCTACTTGGAAGACTGAGGCAGAAGGATCCCTGGAGCCCAGCAGGCCGACGCTGGGGTGGCTGTGAGTTTGCCACTGCATTCCAGGCTGGGTGACAGTGAGACTCCAACTCAAAAAAAGAAAAAAATTATGGTTTGGGCTGGGCATGGTGGCTCACGCCTGTAAACACAGCACTTTGGGAGGCCAATGTGAGGGTTGCCTGAGCCCATGGGTTCAGTGCCAGCCTAGGCAACTTGGTGAGACCTCATCTCATCAATAAGTCAAAAAATTAGCTGGGCGTGGTGGCAGTTCCAGCTACTTGGAAGGCAGAGGCGGAAGGATTGCCTGAGCCCAGAAGGTCGAGGCTGCAGTGGCCATGAGCATGCCACTGCACTCTAGTCTGAACGACAGAGTGAGATTCCAACTCAAAAAAAAAATAATTATGCAGCCGGGCTTGGTGGCTCAGCCTGTAATCCCGCGCTTTTGGGAGGCTGAGGTGAGTGGATTGCCTGAGCCTGCAGGTTCGAGACCAGTGTGGGCAGCGAGACCTCATCTCTACAATAAATCAAAAAATCAGCCGGGTGTGGTAGCACATGCCTGTAATTCTGGCTACTTGGAAGGCTGAGGTGGAAGGATCACTGGAGCCCAGCAGGTCGAGGCTGCGGTGGCCGGAAGCGGCCACTGCACTCCAGTCTGGGCGACAGAGTGTGAGACTCCAACTCAAAAATAAATAAATAAATAAATAAAAAATTACGGTTTGTTATATAATAGTAGCAGCAGGAGATACATTGGGATATAGTTGTAATTCTGCACCCTTTTTTTTTTTTTAGTTAGTCTCACAGTCAGCCAGTGTGGAATGCAGTGAAAGTGGCGTACTCATAGCAATTGCAGCCTCAATCTGCTGGGCTCAGGCGATCCTCCTGCTTCAGCCTTCCAAGTAGCTGAAACTATAGGTGGTTGCCACCATGCCCAGTTAATTTTTTTTTTGTTTTTATTTATTTATTTTTTTTTGAGTTGGAGTCTCACTCTGTCACCCAGACTAGAGTGCAGTGGCCGCTCCTGGCCAGCGCAGCCTCAACCTACTGGGCTCCAGCGATCCTTCCGCCTCAGCCTTCCAAGTAGCCGAAACTATAGGTGCGCGCTACCACACCCGGCTAGTTGTTTTGATTTATTGTAGAGACGAGGTCTTTGCCCGGGCGGGTCTCGAACCTACAGGCTCAGGCAATCCACTCGCCTCGGCCTCCCAAATTGCTGGGATTACAGACTGAGCCACCGAGCCCGGCCTTGTTTTTATTTTTTGAGTTGGAGTCTCATTCCATTGCCCAGGCTGGAGTGCAATGGCACGCTCACAGCCACCCCTGTGTTGACCTACTGGGCTTCCGCCTCAGCCTTCCAGGTAGCCAGAAATACATGCGCACGCTACCTTGCCTGGCTAATTTTTTATTTATTGTAGAGATGAGGTCTCACCATGTTGCCACGGGTGGTCTGGAACCTGTGGGCTCAGGTAATCATCTTGCCTCAACCTCTCAAAGTGCTGGGATTACAGGCTTTAGCCACCATGCCCGGCTGCAGCTAATTTTTTTAATTGTAGTGTCGAGGTCTTGCCAAGTTGCCCAGGATGGTCTTGAATCCTTAGGCAGTCGTCTTGCCTCTACCTCCAAAAGTTTGGATTACAGCTGTGAGTCTACTCCCTTGTTAATTATGAAAGCTATATTGAAATATGTGAGGTTTTATTTATTTCATTTTATTTTATTTTTTTTGGCATCAGAGTATCACTCTGTCATCCAGGCTGCAGTGCAGTGGTACGCTTACAGCCACTGCAGCCTCGACCTGCTGGGCTCAGGTGTTCCTTCCACCTCAGCCCTTCAAGTAGCTGGAACTAGGTATGTGTGCCACCATGCCTAGTTAATTTTTTGATTTGTTGTAGAAATGAAGTCTCAACAAGTTGCCCAGGCTGGTCTTGAACCCCTGGGCTCAGATAATCCTCTCGCCTCTGCCTCCCAAAGTGCTAGGATTAAAGGTGTGAGCCACCACGTTTGATTAATGATGGAAAGTCTTAATTGTATCTGAAGGTTATTGAACTTGGTATTGGGTTGGGCACAGTGGCTCATGCTTATAATCCCAGCACTTTGGGAGGCAGAGGTAAGGGGATTGCCAGAGCTCAAGGGTTAGAGACAAGCCTGGGCAACTTGACGAGACCTCTCCTCTGCAGTCAATTAAGGGCGACGCTGTGGCTCATACCTGTAGCCCCAGCATTTTGGTACGCAGAGGCAAGAGGATTGCCTGAGTCCAGGAGTTTGAAACCAGCCTGGGCAACTTGGTAAGACCTCATCTCTACAATAAATCAGAAAGTTAGCTGAGCATGGTGGCATGCTACTTGGAAGGCTTAGGTGGAAGGAGCACTTGAGCCCAGCAAGTCGAGACTGTGGTGGCCCTAAGCGTGCCACCGCACCCCAGCCTGGGTGACAGAGTGAGACTCCCACCTCAAAAAAATAAAATAGCTGGGCTTGGTGGCTCAGCCTGTAATCCCACGCCTTTGGGAGGCTGAGGTGAGTGGATTGCCTGAGCCCCTGAGTTCGAGACCCGCCCGGGCAACCTGGCGAGACCTCATCTCTACAATAAATCAAAAATGAGCCGGGCGTGGTAGCGCGCGCCTGTAATTCTGGCTACTCGGAAGGCTGAGGTGGAAGTATCACCGGAGCCCAGCAGGTCGAGGCTGCAGTGGCCGGGAGTGGCCACTGCACTCCAGTCTGGGTGACAGAGTGAGACTCCAACTCAAAAAAATAAATAAATAAATAAGCAAGCTGGGAATGATGGGGTGCACCTCTTGTACCTCTAGTTCAGCTACTTGGAAGGCTGAGATTGGAAAGATTGCCTTAGCCCAGCAGGTCAAGGCTGTGGTAGCAATGAGCATGCCTCTGCATTGCAGCCTGGGCAATAGTGAGGCCCTGATTTAAAAAAAAAAAGAGAGAATTTGGTATTGGAATGAAACTTTGAGTATTTGAGAGCCTACTGTGTACATCACGGAATCAGATTTTTTTTTTTTGAATCTCTGTTGCTCAGACTGGAGTGTAGTGGGCGCTCCTGGCCGCTGCAGCCTTGACCTGCTGGGACTCCGGCGATCCTTCTGCCTCAGCCTTCCAAGTAGCTGGAATTACAGGCGTGCGGTACTATGCCTAGCTAATTTTTTGATTTATTGTAGAGATGAGGTCTCACCAAGTTGCCCAGGTGGGTCTTGAACCCGTGGGTTCAGGCAATCCACTCACCTCAGC